GACTTAAAGGGAGAGTTCACCAATAAGTTTACATTTTGTTCTTCAGCTCCATGTAATTCTGATCTTTCATGCTATGCAGGTTAAAACATTTTGAAGAAAACCTGCATTTATCTGACATTTAGAACATATGACACTGCAGCTTTGATGATTAATGCATATATCTTTTTTTTTGTAGGGGTGTGATGAGACGCGTACTCCACAAGATGAGACACGAGACCGGATTCACGAATACGTGATGCCATGAGATTTTTATACTATTTTTTGGAATCCTCAATGATGAAATATAAGAATGGAAAATAGTTTTTTATTCAACTGAAAAAAAAAACATCACAAAATGCAAAACTATTTAGGTGCTTTTTTATTTATGAATATTATTTTACTTCTATTTTAATAAATTGTGCCATAAAGAGCATGCAAACAGTGCAAAATGTTTTGCTATAAACTGGACAAACTCTAAGCTACTGGATGCGAGTATGAATTAAGCACTGATAGGAGAGTTGTTTTAATGGAATTTGATCCCACACGCTGAATGAAATAAAAACTCCTGTTTTTTTTCTGGACGGCATGTGATGATGACGATGATGTTGCATGTGTGTGTGTCATTATGACTTATCCTGTCCTGCACAATGGTAATAGTTCGTTTTGGAGTTTATATGTCTGTACAGCACTTCAAGAATGCGACCAAAAATTGTAATATTTCACGTCTTAATATGTTTTGTTTATGACGATTATGACTTTAAGCATATTCAAACCTTGTTGCGATTTAGTCTCGCAAGATCTCGTAACCCGAGATCTCGTCACATCCCTATTTTTTTTGTATCTATTTTTACAATTTTTGACAAGCGTCTTAATTATATTGTGACAAATCTGATAATCTAATTCTTAGATGTATACAAACACATATTTCATAATTTAAAGAGCTTAAAAATTATATTATTAGATTATGATGGATCATGAATGCCAGCACGTTGGTGGAGAGATTAGTGCTGCTGGAATTACAACACGTTAATTTATTATTTTTTCCAGGAAAACATGAAAGTATCTGTTTATTTAAGAGAAGATTAGAGTAAACACTCTGTTAACCTGGACAGTGTATATATAATGTGAATAAAGCACATCTGAAGTGTATTTAAATATCTACAACACCTCAAATATATTGTTTGAAAACACTAATAAAACCGCCGTGACATAAATGCATGACGTCGTTTACACTGAGTAAAATATTCCTTTAAATTGAATTCAGAAATATTGTAAGACTTTAGAAGACTTGGAAATTAGTTAATTATTTGATTTGACCACATTTTTGTGCCTTTGGAGCTATAAAATGTTCAAAAAACATGTGAAGTTATTAATGAGATACTTAACAATCCATTTGAGCTGAATCCTGTTTATTATTCAAAACTATCATATAGCTTGGATAACTTGGTCTTATGGAAAGTGTTGGGAATAACAGCCCTATAAACACAATAGTTACTTTCCCTGGTAATTAGTTACTTTTATAATTATGTAACTCAGTTAGTATTTGTGAGAAGTAACTAGTTACTATAACTAATTACTCTTTTAAAGAAATTTGCCTCAAACTGCTTATGGACAACAATGTTTTTTCCATACTAAGAGGTATAAACTTTCATCGACACGAAATTGAGCAAAATAATGACAGATTTTCTATTTTGGGGTGTATCCTCCCTTTCAGAGCTGTGTTTATGAATCTATTTGACCTATTTGAAGGGAAACTAAAATTGTATTTCTGCATGAATAAAACTCTTTGATTCTGCACGACTAACACCTTGTTTTGTTGCGTTCCTGTGCTGTTCGGAGTCATGATCTCGCCAGTTTATTAAACGAAAGAATCATAGCTCCTTACAGGAGCAGATACAGGAATATTTACAATGTCTGTCGCCTCAGCGCAAGGATGAAACATCAAAGACCTTGAATCTGACATGAAGAGATAAAGCAGAGGTAGTCAGAGATACTCGCAGTGTATGAATTATTCACCGCGCACTTATTGTGAGCCAATGGACCGATAAGAAGAACTTGCATCCAGTGATGGAGGAAAAGAAAAGATTAAACAACAACTAAAAAATAAATAAAAAAACTGTAGGGAAAAATAAGATACGGTGATGCTGACAAACCAAGCCATGTCATTTTTTAATTAATGTGCATAAAAAAATCTAATCTTTTTTTAAAGGAGCTACCTGAAAAAAACTTCAATATTAGCGACACCGGTGGTCATTAAATGAACTGCAGGCAGCAAACTATTGTATTTATAAATGAAAATCACATAATTTCCTCACCATTATATTGCAAACCTGTATGGATTAATTCCTTACTCCATGGCTATTTTGTATGGAAAAAGAGCAGCATGAACATTCTTCAAAATGCCTTCTTTGGCATTCTATGGCGAAAAAGAAAGTCATGAAGGTTCGGAATGGCATTGTTGTGGTTAGCTATTTCATTAAAAGTGAAAACCCATGAGAATGTTTTTTTCCCTAACAAAAACAACAGCGATTCAATAATATTACCGATCCCATCCAATGTTTTTAATTGACCACTTGTTTGGTAAAGAATATAATACAATGACAGAACTAGAATTCATAAGAACATCAATAAATATTGAATAACACACATGGACCGCATTCACACAGCCTGAATCTGAAGGAAATACTTGAAAAAACCCAGCAGTATCTCAACGCAGAAGATGGTGTTTAAAGTTTGATGTAGCAGCAGCACTGTTTTCTGCCAAGCGTCTAAGAGTTAGCCAGTGTGAGTGAGGTCCAGAGACTCTAAGCAACAAACACATCCAGATTTCATTTTAAACAAGTGAAAAATAAATAAATAAATACATACATAAAAAATGAGAATAGACATTACGAATTAAAATGAAAAGTCTGTACATCACAGAGCTGAGGAGTGGTGTCAAAAGAAAGTTTTATGGTTTCTGTTGTAAGGTTGTTTTGTTAGTGCTGGAGAAAGTAAAAAAAAATCATTTTGAAAACGAAATGCATTGATTTTATTTTTTTGCTGTTTGAAACAACTAACACTCATTTGGGGGATGGTGGGTCTCTAGCGGGGGGGGTCTTTGGAACGACCGCTGGCAAACGCTATGGATGAGCTCACCGGGGGCGTTGGTTGGACCAGGGGGAGAGCCCACCAAGCCATGCCCGGACAGAGACCACTCTCTCCGGCATGACCCGCGCCTGGAGGGGGGGTAGCGCGTCCCTGGGTTTCGCTGACCTGCCGTCGAGATTTCGATAACAGACTCAAATGAAGGACTTAGTGCAATTTTCGATTTCGCGGTTGAACGAACCAGGGGTCTAACGAGGGCCCCGTTGCCCCAAAACAAGCGTTCAAACCCGGGCAAACCAAGTGCGCGCTGCTGCCCTGGTCCTACCAAGGACCCAGGCCTCAATGGCCAGCAAAGCTACCCCAAAACAAGCGTTCAAACCCGGGCAAACCAAGTGGGCGCTGCTGCCCTGGTCCTTCCAAGGACCCAGGCCTCAATGGCCAGCAAAGCTACCCCAAAACAAGCGTTCAAATCCGGGCAAACCAAGTGCGCACTGCTGCCCTGGTCCTTCCAAGGATCCAGGCCTCTTGGCCAGCAAAGCTACCCCAAAACAAGCGTTCAAACCCGGGCAAACCAAGTGCGCGCTACTGCCCTGGTCCTTCCAAGGATCCAGGCCTCTCGGCCAGCAAAGATAACCCAAAACAAGCGTTCAAATCCGGGCAAACCAAGTGCGCACTGCTGCCCTGGTCCTTCCAAGGATCCAGGCCTCTCGGCCAGCAAAGCTAACCCAAAACAAGCGTTCAAACCCGGGCAAACCAAGTGCGCACTGCTGCCCTGGTCCTTCCAAGGATCCAGGCCTCTCGGCCAGCAAAGCTAACCCAAAACAAGCGTTCAAACCCGGGCAAACCAAGTGCGCACTGCTGCCCTGGTCCTTCCAAGGATCCAGGCCTCTTGGCCAGCAAAGCTAACCCAAAACAAGCGTTCAAACCCGGGCAAACCAAGTGCGCACTGCTGCCCTGGTCCTTCCAAGGATCCAGGCCTCTTGGCCAGCAAAGCTAACCCAAAACAAGCGTTCAAATCCGGGCAAGGCCAGTGGTCTGAACACCATGGGAGTTAGGGGGTCCACGGGAGTCAAGGGTCCATTTCTGAGCTGCTAACCCGTCTCCCAGCGTCCGTCACCCCGCAGCAAACATAAGACCCCATCGCAGACGGAGGCTAGAACGACGTGCGGCTGGTGCCCCATACACGAGCCCAGGGCCGGTGGTGACCCATTCACAAACCCAAAGACCGATTGGGTCACCAGCGGTACGTCTTGGCCAGTTGGGTCACCAGCAGCACGTCTGTCTGATCCATGCGGTTTGGAGGAGTTAGTGTCCCCGGGCTTAATAGTGGGGTGCCCGGGCACGGCTGGTGATTAGGTGCAAATCTAGGGGGTCCTTTGGAACCAGCGCTTGCCGCCGGAGAGTGCGTGTACCTCGGGCAGAGCGTGCAGGGCACGGCCCCCCCCCCAACGCTGGATCTCAGAGGCCCCAGGCCAGGGAGAGGGGCTGGGCTCGCTCCCCAAGAAGGGTGTGTGTACCCCGGGCAGAGCGCGCGGGGCACAGGCCTCCCCAACGCTGGATCTCAGAGGCCCCAGGCCAGGGAGAGGGGCTGGGCTCGCTCCCCAAGAAGGGTGTGTGTACCCCGGGCAGAGCGCGCGGGGCACAGGCCTCCCCAACGCTGGATCTCAGAGGCCCCAGGCCAGGGAGAGGGGCTGGGCTCGCTCCCCAAGAAGGGTGTGTGTACCCCGGGCAGAGCGCGCGGGGCACAGGCCTCCCCAACGCTGGATCTCAGAGGCCCCAGGCCAGGGAGAGGGGCTGGGCTCGCTCCCCAAGAAGGGTGTGTGTACCCCGGGCAGAGCGCGCGGGGCACAGGCCTCCCCAACGCTGGATCTCAGAGGCCCCAGGCCAGGGAGAGGGGCTGGGCTCGCTCCCCAAGAAGGGTGTGTGTACCCCGGGCAGAGCGCGCGGGGCACAGGCCTCCCCAACGCTGGATCTCAGAGGCCCCATCAATGGTTCACCAGCGGCTCCATCAATGGTTCACCAGCGGCACATCTTTACGCATCTAGCGCCAAAGGTCCAACAGGAATACGTTATGCCTGGCGCTCACCGGGGCGTTGGTTAGACCCAGGCCCGAGCCCACCAAACCATGCCCGACGGGAGACCACCCTTCCCGGCCTGCTTGTCGGGACGTCCCGCGCCTGGAGGTTTTTGCCCGACACCCACAATCTCTGACCTGCCATCAGGTTTTCGGGGAAGGCGAAGAAATATGGACTTAGTCTCTGACAGTCCAGTCGCCAGACCCCACGGTGACTGATCGATAGGAGCTAGTGTGGCGCCCCAGGGGCCAGGCCCCCACCCAGGCCCCCCAAAGCACCAATGGGGTCGGCCTCTATGGGTGTGGCAGATCCTCCCCGTCCTGGGCGCTCTGTCAGGGAGGCGTGGGGGTGTCCCTCCGCACACAGCGCCCCCCCTTCCCGCCCCGATCTGTGGGTAAAGGACCCAGATGGCCCGTCTGGCTAAATGACCCAGAGCTTGTCTGCTGCTCAGCCTGCCCGCCAGCCCGCCCCCCTGGACTCCGTTTCCCCCGCGCCGATACTCGGCCCGTGCCCCCGCCCCACGCCCCTCGCCCTGCGAGGGCTGGGGGATGTTCGGTGGGTTCGGTCGAGTCACCCGGCGTGGTGAATCGAGGCCCCAGGGGCAGCGTAGGGAACGAGCTGGTGTGGGCTTCGATTCTACCCCCGCCTGAGTGTGTGCGTCTGCATCCCGTCCGTCCGCCCGCAACGCCGCCCACCCCCTGGGTTTATCCTTGCTGGCTCCCGGCTGACCCCCACCCCGCCTACCCTGCTCCCGGGGGAGTGAGGGTGGTTGGTTGGGAGGGGAAGCTAGTGGACTCCGGCGAGGTGAAACGTGCCAGGGTCAGTGGTGCCGGGGTTACGGGCTGTCTGGACCCCCCTTTCGATGGTTGGTGCGTATTCCATGTTGGCTGTAGCAGGTCACAAAAGCTCCCGCGGCTGGCGCGTGTGGAGCTGTCCCCCCCCCCAATGGGGCTCAAACAATCCCCGTTTTGGGGTGGAAAAAGTGAACGTGAATGGCTGTGGAAAAGCTCCCGCTGGCCAGAACAGCAAAATGAAGGGGGGATAGGGAGTGAGGTGGGACACCCCTTCCCCAACTCGAGTCGTGACAAGAGAGAGAGGTGTCGAACCGCTGACCGGGGCAACGATGAAGGGGCGGTGGGGTGCATTGTTTAACGGGACACCCCCTCTGGTTCCTTTGAAAAGGGGGGAAGGGAAGTGAGGTGGACACCCCTCTCCCCCCTACTTGAGAAGTCGTAACAAAATAAGGCTTGAACCGAATGGATCTCCGTAGGGCATCGGCTTACACCTCCTGGTGCGGGGGGGGTGTCCTTCCCCTTTAAGAAATACGGGTGCACCAACGTCATGACGCGGAAGTAGACGCCGCCTCCGGCCGCTTATTAACCGCCGCACGTGGCGTGTGGGCCCCTTTCCCCCTCTGCATTGGCTCTAGCACGGTCATGGCTGAATGTGCCCTATGCTTCAACGTCTACAGCCGGCTTGCGCCTCACCTGACGGCCGTTCACAAGGTGGCCAACTCGGACGAGAAGCGGCTGCTGCTCGCGCTGGCCGCCGGCCGCGTGGACACGCGGAAGACACCGTGCCCGGTCCCGGGATGTCGCCGGACGCCAGCCCGCCTAGACAGGCACTTGAGGCAGCACGCGGAGCTCTCGACCTCGGGAAGGAAAGAGGCTATGGGGAGGGCGAAACGCCGGAAAGTAGCTCGGGAGTTGCAGTGGCTGCGGTCCACCCAGCCTGCAATCCCCGTCGTGTCCCAGCTAGCATCGTCCTCCGAGGGGGAGCGGGACTCGGAGGACCCAGAGGCCGGCCGCCCGTGCGCCGACCGCGGCTGCAGGCGCGCCACCGAGCGCATACAGGCTCAGCTCACGGACCTGGGGAAACAGGTTACCAAGATGCGGTCCACCCTGCTCCAAATCACACGCCTCTACCGGGAGCTAAGGAAGGGAGAAGGGGGGAGAAGGAGGAGGAAGAGGGCCAGGAGAACCAGGTCGCCTCCTGCACCACCGCCTCCCGGGCGAGGGGCGGCCGGAGGTCCGACGCCCCCCGAGCCTCCGGAGGCTTTGGAGCCCACTGCCTACCCGTTCCCGGACCACGTCCCCGCGCTGAGTTGAGTATATTTCAGGCACGTCACTGTCGCTCTGCTGGGTGTGTGGCTTCGGGGAAGTTGACTCTTGGTTGTGCTCGTTCCACAGACCTTCTCTTGGGGGAGTTCGAAGGGTACCAACTGGGCAGCGAGCCCACCCCCCGCCTGCGGAACAACGTCACTTCGAAGCTGGGGAGAATCAAAGCCTTCCTTGGTTACATGGCCAGGGGCACCGCGGAGCCAGGGGACTTCCTCTTCCTCAACCAACCAGCCCGAATCCGAGCGTGGGCCGCCCGGCTAGGTCAGACGCGCATGGCCGAGTCCACCAGGCAGCACTACCTGAAGAACGTGGCTCAGTTCCTAGACTACCTCTCGGAGACGCCGCCGGCCGCCTGTCAGCTCTCCAGCACGGCTCTGGTTCTGATTCGAAGGGAGGTCAGAGCCCTCATCCGCGGCATACGCCGGCGTGTCGTCGTGCACGAGGTAAGGACCAAGCAGGCGAAGGAAAGCCGACTGATCCCCAAGGCCAGCCTGGTGCGCTGTCACCGGACCGCTGGGAGGAAAATTCCCGCCCTGCTAGGTAAGCAAGCCCTTCCGCCGTTCCAGCGATTCCCCCTGTTCGTTCTTCCGGGCCACCAGCAGCTGTTGTTTGAGCTGCTGGCGCCCCGGAGAACAAGTCACCAGCAGCCAAGAGCTGTTGGTGACCCAGAAAGGAAATAGAACCGTCGGTGGTCTAATCTGTCTAATGTCCTTCACCAGATAGCCTCGAATCCAACCCAAGCACTAGGCAACAGTGGCGCTTCTATGGCTTTCTGACTGGCTACCTAACCTCCATCTCTGGGCACCGCTGTGGAGTCTTCCAGAATCTCACAATCCAGGAGGTTGAAGAGGCCTCCAGAAGCCCCGACGAGTCTGCTTATGTCATTAACGTGAGTATGGCGCAAGTAAGGTGGGGGTCACCAGTAGCATGCTCTCTCACTCACTCACTCACTCACTCACTCACTGCTTGTTCTCTGATGTCAGATTACCACTCAAAAAACAAACAGAGCCTTTGGGGCGGCTCAGCTGTCCCTAAACAGGGAGGAATACAGCTGGTTCCGCAGGTTTTTGGCGCTGCGGGCTGGTCTCCCCGGAGGGAGCCAGGCTACCTATTTCTTTTTCACTTCCAGAGCCAGTCCTTGTCGGACCCTGAACAAGTACTTTCAGTCTGCTTGGCTCAGTATGGGCCTTCCAGGCAAACCCACCTTTACTGACGTACGCACTGCGATCGCGACTCATGTGAGTAGGCATTGTGACGCCCCTGTAACTACCAGCGGCGGCTTCTATCCTAATCAAGCTTCTGTCTCTCTCCGACGCAGGCAAAGAATGCATACTCTTCAGAGGATCGCCGCAAGGTGGCGCAATTCATGTGCCATGACACTTCAACCTCAGATAAGTTCTACGCACTTCACCTCGGACCTCTCCAAGCACGCGAGCGCCGCAGACTCTTTGAAAGGGCCCTGGTGGAGGAGGAGGAGGAGGAGGAGGATGGGGAGGCAGCGGGCACTGAAAGCCCCCCGCGGAAAGGGCGCAAGAGGACAGAGACTTCCGTCTCTCCCCTGGTAAAAATCACATTCTCTTTGGCGTGGACAGCAGAACGTATGGCATTGGCTAACTTCCCTTTATGTGTCTCTTTTCCAGGAGGGAACCAGCAGGAGGACGCTGCCATGGCGCCCTGCCAAAGGGAAAAGCCAGGGCGCTCGCCCGCTCGAACAAACAGAAGACTCTGAATCGTCCTGAATAAATATTGTACAACTTAACGGTCAAATGGTGTTCAGTGTCTTCATTATTCCTTTTATTTATTATCTGTGTGGTAAAAGTAAATTCAGTGGGGACAAAAATGAGCCCTGTCTTCTTAGTTCAACGCTGTATGCCTGCTGCGTCCAGGTCCTGCCTTGGCTACGTTCCGATTGGGACAGATTAGCCCTATCTTGTGTGTTAAAAGTGTCACGTGGGATGCCCTCGTCCAGGTTCTGCCTTGGCTACGTTCCAATTGGGACAAACAATCCCTGCCTTGAGTGTTAAAAGTGACTCGCGGGACGCCCCCGTCCAGGTTCAGCCTTGGTTGATAGCTCATAGGGAGAATGAATCCCTTTTCCAGCACAAGGGGGTGATGGGCTGGACAAATCTGTCCAGGTCTGCAAATGCTTTGAACGCCCAGAAGGCCTTGAGTCCAATTCTGTATATTAGCAAGCTTCTCCCGGGACAGCTCGGTCCTTAGAGATGCATGAATAGGTCAGGACAGGGCAGCTGTGGAGTGGAGGTTAACTTTATGGAGGAATACATTTACTGCTTCTAACAGCAGCGAATGTTGGATAACTAACATTGACCGAATGCCCTTCAAGCAATAAATATACAGGAATGATAATAAATATGCAAAAATAAGAGCTTTAACTATAATTATACTTGAAAATCGTTTATGTTTTGTTTTTTTAGATTGACCATTTTGAGATTCTTCAGAATAAAATGTGGGATTACCCAAGCAAACCTGTTAGCTTGATGCTAAATAGTTGCTATATGAAAGCTAATTTGTTCTGAGTACTTTTATTGTTTCTTTGTTGAAGCCAAAATATTCGGGTTGATTATTAGCATGCTGCTATACATTTGCTACTTGCTACAATCATTTTGGCATGTTACTTTGCTGCTAAAATGTTTGGATTGTTTACTAGCATGTTGCCTGCCCTATGGTTGCTAAAATGCTTTGAGTAAATTGTGCTTTGAGGTTGCTGATATGTTCAGATTGACTAATAACAGTGGCTAGTGTTCTGAATGTTTCTTAGCGTGTTTCTTTGCCGTTGCTTAGATGTTCTGATTGTTTATTAGCATACTGTTATACACTTGCTAAAATGTTTTGATTGGTTATCCGTGTGATGCTACACAGCTGAAATGTAAATAGCAAATTTCTATACCGCTATTGAAGTGTTTTGGTATATCTTGTTGCTTTGTGGCTGCTAAGAGATTCTGATTAGCATTTTGCTATGGAGTTGCTAAGGTGTTTAGAGTGCTATTAGCTTGTTGCTACGCAGGGGCTAATGTGTTGAGAATGTAAGTAGAATTGTTCTGAATGATTCTTAGCATGTGTCTTTGCCGTTTCTAAGATGGTTTGAAATGTTATTAGCATATTGCTATAATGTTGTTAAAGAGTTTTGAATCATTTATTTACCTCTTTGCTTTATAGCTGTGCTTTTTCTCACCGCAAATCATATATTTGTTTACCAAGAAAAGTAATAGCACACCTCTGCTCAATACATTTCAAGACCTCAGGTGTATTTTACACATGGACACCTGTAAAATCTGACTAGCAATATGTTAATCAGTATCATAAAGTCTTCCTTAAACTCCTCTCCCACAGCCCTACCATCAAAGCAACCATGTGCATGACGAATTCGCCGGTAATGATATGACAGCCAGCTGGGATGGAATTTACAGATAGGATTATGTGCCAGAAGAGATTTATATGAGGTAAAGGGCAGACTATGTAAGCACGGTTTAGGTGAACAGGGAATGCCGGAGGTTCAGGTTAAATATACTAAGCAGCTGTGATTTTCAGAAAAATCTGCAGTGCCACAGCTGACTCAACTGGCTTCTTTGTCATGGTAATTCCCTTTCTGACACCGTCCAATCAAAGACATTTCCAGCAGATCAAGTTAGCGCACTAAAAATTCAGATGCGCTACTCTCTTTGAAGGTAATGATGGATGTGTTGTGATACCTGCACTCCTGATTAAACAGAGGACATCATGCTCCTGTCTCACCTCCACAGCTTCCTCTCTACCTCCAACAATCATGTAAATACAAAAAGGACAAGGTTAAACTCTGAATACAATGTGCACATGGTATCAAAACAGAGTAAATGGAAAAAACGGCATTCTTGGCTGCAGCAGCAGATACTGTAGCAAACAAAATGTCACTGCCGAGTGTTTTGCATGTTTTGCTTAGCAAATCTGGCTGAATAAATCATGCATGCAAGCATAAATAAGACTATGTTCCATGAATGTAACTACAAAGGGGTCGTGCAGCTAGTGTAACAACCTCTGGGAGCACGGTTGCTCTGTGGCAATTAGTCAGAAAACTTGCCGGAAGAACGTCCTGCAGCTGCCTTTTGCGGTTCTTCAGAAAGCCTGCCAAAAGACAGCTGCGAACATTCTTTGTTTAGAGGTTCATTTTTATAATCAAGGCTCACAATTAAGTTGCCACATTGTTAGCCATCTGCCTTCCTTCGCTAGCCTCAGCTGAAGGGTGTAAAGAGCTATTAGTGTGATAGAGAGCTACATTAGCAGCTAATGTGGATTATTAGGATTCTGGGTATCAGAATGAGACTCCAATTTTGACTGACAAATTGTATACCTCTGGTACACCTTCTGTTCAACGAAATATGTATATGCGCAGTTGAAAGTATTGGACAAAACTTGAATAGAACATTCTTTACCCCATGTTTTTATAATATTATTAAGTGTATGTAGATTATTAAGTTATATATGTAAATATATTATTACACAACAGTTCTGTCTGGTTCTATTTGCTGATAGCCGTGCAATATTCTGCAAATAACAGCACTTGTACAACCTCTTTACCCTTCACTCTTGTGTATTACTCCGCCCATCTACAGCCACAAGCAGAGGACACTCTACAGTTTGACAAATATTGCTGCTGTAGGACAACATACTGTACTTTTGAGGCTATTTTAGTTGGGAATGTATTTGTTTAGATTGCAACTATGCAGTTTATTTATAAGGATAGTGCCTATTTTTAAATATTTATAGTTTCAGAGCATCGGATTCAGTGCATCACTCGCCATCAGCCTGTCTGAGCAGACCAAAGAAAGTGACGGTTGATGTTCCGCCACAAAATGGCGACAGACCCTGCACAATAACTCCTTAGGGGAGAAAAACAGCATTTTCTCAGTGCATGTTTCAAACTACAGCTGAACAAATAATTTTACATCATGTAAGATTTATCGCTATTTTTTGTATTTTGTAATGCTGTATTTATACCACAGAAACTGGTAGTGTTAGCTTTGCTCTGGCTTTTTCGGGGTTAATTATTGTGATATCCAGATTGCAACAAAGAAATACTGGGAAATGTCTGTAGACTGATGGCATTTCATGCCATTCAGCCTTATCATCTTAAAATGTAAGCAAAAATCATCTGTTTTGTCATCACTTTAGACATTACGCAAGAAAATCATTTAAATACTAGCTTTAAAGTGATTTCTGTGAAGTAGCAACGGTTTCTGCTGGTCTGACGTCATCTGCAGATGTGAATGAGTGGCGGAAGAAAGTAGTTCCTCATACAAAAGGGTTTTTGAGACTCTCTATGTTTGATTTTCTTTTTTATACATATGATTATGCCGTCAAACTATAGTATGAATGCAATATCACACTCGTAGCAGTGCGATATGGCTGTATATCGGCACTGGTGGGATACTAAGCACAAAATAGGGACGCAACGCACCACAATATACATCCAAATCGCATTGCTAATGCTGTTATATTGCTCATATATATAATATTTTTTTTATATTTCAATAAATGTAAAAAAAATTTAGTTATAATAAACACAATACAAAGTCAAACAAACAATTAGATCAATAAAAACAACTAAATAATAATAAATAGTAACAAAATGTTAATTAATCAATTATTTATTGCTAAATCTTCTGTAGTAGTGTTTATTTTACTATAATTTTGGTAAACTGGGGTTAAATGTTGGGAAATGTATCCAATAATACACATCTCTCTCCTTCTGACTGAATTTCAAAATGTACAAAAACAGGTTTAAAAAAAATCCTTCTGTCCCTGAAGTCAATTGCTTCTTTGTCAAAAAAGTGCCAATACCCTTAACATTAATTAAGCTTGCTTAGGTAAAAAAGATGAAGTGTTCTGATACATATTGGCATTTCATCCTCTGAATTTTTGGCTACTTCATTAAAAAAGGTGGACAAAGGTAGAGAAGGAAAGACGAGGGAGTGCTGACGTGAAAAGAACCGGGCTGCGTTTGCAATCTCACAGGGAACAGCGAGAGATAAGCACAAAACTTGGCATTAGAAATGCGCTGCAAAAGAAAGAGTCTGCCCTTTTTTTAAGGTAAGAAGGATAGTTGAGAGGGCAGAGAATAAGAAACGGTCCTCATTTTTGAGTCAGCTGTCGCAGTACTCTTTGAAAAACAGGACACGCACCTGGTAGGGAGGAAAAAAGCGTATGTTTGGAAAGCCTAGACCATATCTTTCGCTCTGAGGAGAACAGAAGGCCAAACACCGCATCTCAACTGGCATGAGCCCTTTGCTTTTTAACCTCCCGATCTTCGATGCTGGAGGTATCCCTGCCTCGCAAAAATTTACCCACGAGCACTTTTAACATCTAACCTGTGTGTGATAATCGCACCATCTGGATCCTTTGTTTTCGTTTTCGTCGCACCCTAGGGAATCCGCCCCTATTTTATTTCTTCCCCGACTGTGCTACATCAAGAAGCTAATTATGGACGTAGCTGCGACCCCCTCCTAAAGCTGTTTAAACTAGCTTGTCACCGGCTGGGTTTGATGTGCCGTATATGTAGCCGAGTGCAATTAAGAACGACGAGTCGAACCTCTAATTCTGGCTCTTTTTCTTGACAGGACAATTTCTGCTCTGAGGGTGAGAAAGTAGGAAATCATTTTGCAGACTATCAATAACAGATTGAAGGAGAGATTTTACAGTAGCACATTTTACCTAACTAATTTTTGTCAGGTCGCTCAAAGTCAATACTTTTAGCATTGAGAAAACCTTTTACGTCAGGATTGTTATAGTTATAGTAACTAGTTAGTAACTATTGTTAGTAACTAGTTATAGGCTGTCTAAGGGTATTTAAACTCCATAAATCAAAGGTGCACAATGATGACATTACAAACCCTCATTATAATTTTTTTGGTCAATGGAGCCAAGAAGATATTTTGTTGAGTGTTAATGCTGCACTTTCCCTTACATTTAAAGGGCTGTAATAAAAGAAATGGTCAAAAAATTATGAAACACATAACTAGAACATTAAGTGGAATGTATGATAGTACAGCCGATTCGAATGTTATCACTCGATTGAATGACCACTATCAGTGGTTATCAGCTGATAAATATGGGCCAGTAGGGGCCTTCTGTGCTTACTGGTAGCCTCAGAAGGCTGTTATTATCCATCCACATGGTTAATCAGCTATAGATCACAAAAAGTAACAAGAAATATTTATATGATTTAT